TCCTACTTTTCCATTTTTGTATATATTTTCATATGTTAGTTGTATATAGCATACCCAATGTACCCCATATCAGTTTCAACAAGTTTTATACGAGTTCCTTTTTTCAAAATTTCAAAATCGCAAAATGCCTATTCATTTAGTGTTGTACAGAGTGGCAATAGGGACATACTACCTAAAAATGCATGGCGTTTTAATATCATATGTATGTAAATGCACACTTTTTGATATATTACTTTTTGTCTTTCTGTTGCTTGGTAATCGAAAACTACTTGCACTTAACCGGCAAGCAATGATAATTATCCTCCGTAACCAGAAATGTCTTCTGGAAAACCCCTACTATAATATTGTATTGATATTACTCTTAAGCAATGATATTGAAACAAATCCCGGGCCCGAATTAGAACAGAAAGAGTTATCTTTCTTCCATCTAAATGTAAGAAGTATCCGTAATAAAATTGCTGATATCGAATCCTTAGTTCACGAGTATACAGTTCTATTATTTACTGAAACACACCTCGATGATAATGTACCAAACTCTGATCTTTTGATTGAAGGTTTCTCAGAGCCACTCCGATTAGATAGAAACTGTTTTGGTGGTGGTGTAATGATATACATAGCCGAAGATGTTCATTTTAAACGTCGACACGATTTAGAATTTCCAGGCGGTGAAATCATATGGATTGAACTGAATTGTACTGGTTGTTCATATCTTATCTGTACTGTGTACCGTCCTGAAGGATCCAATATACCTTTTTGGGACAATTTCCAGACCTCCATAGAAACGGCTTTTAACTATAGTACCAATATCATCATACTTGGCGATATTAATATTGACCTGTTTACAGTTCGAAACCATAGACTTAATGATATTATTATTCTTTTTAACTTAACCAATGTAATATATGAACCTACCAGGGTTACTGCGAATACAGACTCTGATTGATCCTATATTTGTAAGTGATACTGTTCATGTTCTAGAATCTTCTGTTATACCTGTTGAAAATAGAATAAGTGACCACTCTGCCACACATGTTGCTATTAAATTACCAGGTAAAAGTACGAATACATACAAACGTGATGTATGGATTTATAAAGATGCTGATTATGTTAAGTTTAATAATCTGATTAGGAACTTTTCGTGGGGGGAACATTTTGAAAATTGTAGTATAGATAAAGCTTGTGATATTTTCACTTCATCATTTCTCGAGTTTGCTAATCTATGCATACCAAAAAAACAAATAACTGTTAGGAAGAATGATAAACCCTGGTTTAATTCAGAATTACGGAGGGAAATCAGAAAAAGGGATAGGTTACACAAACAAGCACGTAGATTTAATCGTCCATGCGACGTTCTGAAATTCAGGCAACAGAGAAACAAAGTAAACAATATGAAGAAGTATGCTAAAACATCGTTTTTTGAAAATATTAACGGAATTGTTGATAACTTTGCCTTGAATGATTCTAAACAATATTGGAAACTTATGCATCGACTTATTGGTAAAACAGCCAAATCAGAATCAATTCCCTCCTTATATGACAGTGATATAGGTGAGTTTGTGTATGCTGATAAAGAAAAAGCAGATTTACTCAATAAGTTTTTTGTTCCATTGCTAATAATATTGATGAACCCACTATCATCCCAGAATTTCCTTCAAGATGCCCTAATTCAATTGAAAATATTGTCTTCTCTGTAACTGAAATAAGGGATATTCTTTTAACTTTGAAGCTAAACAAAGCTACAGGAAAAGATCAAATTAGTCATGCAATGTTAAAAAATACTGCAGAAAGTGTTTGTATACCTCTTCAATTGCTTTTTAATTTATCTCTAAGTCAATGTAAGTTTCCAAGTCAATGGAAAACAGCTATAGTAATACCTTTATTTAAAAAGGTGAGCGTTTTCTTTCTTCTAATTACAGACATATTTCTCTTCTTAGTACTGTCAGTAAAGTGCTTGAACGAGCAATATACAAGCATTTATTTAATTTTGTCATCGATAACAACCTCCTGTATAAACACCAGTCAGGCTTTGTTCCAGGTCATTCTACTGTTACACAATTACTAGAAATGTATCATAATATTTGTTTATCATTAGAAAATAAGCGCCAAACATGTATGGTATTTTTTGACATTTCAAAAGCTTTCGATAGAGTTTGGCATGATGGCTTAATGAAAAAAATAAAGCATATGGTCTTAGAGGCAATATTTATAATTGGTTGAGAGATTATTTAAGTGGTAGAAATCAAATGGTATGTTTACGTGAAGCTTTTTCTTACACAGGATATGTAAATGCTGGTGTACCTCAAGGTTCTGTTTTAGGGCCATTTCTATTTTTGTTATAATTATCTTAATGATATTTGTGAAAATTTATTTTCATTGTCAAGAATGTTTGCTGACGACACTTCACTCGCATATTCTTCAAATAATAGTGCAGAAATTGAATATTACATGAACCATGATTTAGCAGTTATTGATCAATGTTCGAAGAAATGGAATGTAAATTTTAATCCTAATAAAACAGACGAAGTTGTTTTTACTGGTTCTTTAGAAAGACTTGATGTTCAGTTGATTTTTAATAACACAACATTGACAAAAGGTGGTACACACAAACACTTAGGGGTAACTTTAAATGAAAATGGCAAGTGGGAAACACATTTCTTGCATATTGCCAGATCAGCCTCTAAACATTTGTCTGTTTTACGAAAATTGAAATTTACTGTGAATAAAGAAATTTTATCAAAATTATACATTGTATTCATCAGACCTATTTTAGAATATGCGAGTGAAGTGTTGGATGGTTGTAACAATGCAGATTCTGATAAAATAGAAAAAGTCCAACTGGAAGCAGCCAGAATAGTTACAGGTTTGCCTTTATTTGCTAGTAGACAGTCTTTGTATAGTGAAACTGGCTGGGAAAAAACTTGAAGACGGACAAAAATAAAAATAAAGTTATTATTATACAAAGTGCACCATAATTTAGTTCCTTCTTACCTAAACGACATCGTACCCAATAAAGTAAATGACATTAGTAGATATAGTTTAAGAAATGGTCAAGATTATGTATTACCCAAGTGTCGACTTGTTTTGTATGAAAAATCGTTTATCCCCAGTACCCTGAGAATGTGGAATTCATTAGATATTTCAACTAGAACTCTAGAAACAGTGTCAAAATTTAAACATAGCATTTTTAGAAAAAATAAACCTGTAACTAAACTGTCTGTAGGTAACAGAAAATTTGATGCTATACATACTAGACTCCGTCACGTCTGTAGCGCGTTGAATGCAGATCTTTTCAAGTGTAATTTAGTCTTATCACCAGCATGTAACTGTAACTTTTAATAGAGAACCACTTTCATTATTTTTTTCAGTGTAATATATACAACCAGTGTCGGGATATACTTTTCAGACAATTGTCTAGATATGATATAGTAATTGATCTAGGTGTACTGTTGAACGGTTCTATTAATCGGAACCAGACTGTTAATGATAATATACGGTTGTTTGTACAAGAATATATCAAAAACACGAATCGTTTTGCATAATCTGCTCCAGTATCAAATAATAAAGACAAATCATCATTATATGTCAAATGAAATGTTAAGTACAAAATTGCGGTTTACATGCAGAAACTGGTTCCAACATTCAGTTGTTGTAACTATTCACTATGCCTTATTATACATGTACATACTTTAATTGTTAGGTATGACATTCATACTATATCTATGACATTTTAAGTGAAATTCCTTGAACTAGTACTGATATGGGAAATGCATATTTCCATCTGTATACATTAATGTTAAGTTTTATAAATATATATATATAATATTTATATCAACTGTTCATGAAATGCTGCCATATATGTATGTTACCATTGTATAATAGTTTATGGAAGAGGACGTTTCTAATTTGTTTAACTTGTGTCCAATTCCATTTGAATTTTTTCAAATAAAATATTTTTAAACTAAAAAGTTTCATTATAATCCTGTCATTTTTTGACAAAGTTATTCTGCAGAAACCGTCAACCAATCAGAGTGCTGTATGGTAATTAATTATTTGCGGGTTTTGCTCAACTTCGCTGTACGCCTCGATCTTTGGATAATGAAGATGCATGGCATACTCTCCCACACGATGATACGTAATTATCATATACATCATACTTTATACCACCTACCGATAGCATACTAAATTCATTATCATGGCTTGTCAGTATTAGAATATCCAAAAAGTTGAGAAAACTTGAGAACGGACTTTTCTCATTTCCCGGCATTTAGGAACGTATTATAACAAAAAATACCCGTTCTGCTCGTACCAGGTGACGTCCTCAACCGGACATATAAATAACACAAAAGTGATACTCGTAAGAAACTAGTCCCGTGATAAACAGATCAATATAGAGTTACGAAAAACTATTATGAGGATAACACACCAATTTATGCGTAAATGTGCAAATGAAAAGCCAATGACAATCTGATTGGTTCTTTAAGACAAAATCTGCATATTTTTAAGGTTCATGGTATTACACGCAATCCTCTTTTTCTTTATATTTGTGACAGACCGGGGATTTGCGATCGCTGACCATTGAGCCTTGAAGTCAATTAGAAATGTGTTCAGTTGACGTTTTTTAAATGGAGAAATATTTAAGGTAGTAGTATTTTGATGATGAACAGTTCATCACACAGTATTTTCAGTGATTGTCGTGAGCACAGTGCTCGCTTTGAGAAAATTGTTCTCAAGCCAAACCCTGAAACAGTGTGATAAGCTGTAAGTATCAACGCAGTGAAATAATCTGATACCGGAAAAATGACTTAGGTTTGCTCTTCTATCGCTGATGCCACACAAGACAGAGACGTCATTCTGAAGGCCTATAATGATAATGCCGCACAAGACAGAGACGTCATTCTGAAGGGCTATAATGATGTTGCCACACAAGACAGAGACGTCATTCTGAAGTCCTATAATGATGATGCCACACAAGACAGACGTCATTCTGAAGGCCTATAATGATGATGCCACACAAGACAGACGTCATTCTGAAGGCCTATAATGATAATGCCACACAAGACAGAGACGTCATTCTGAAGGCCTATAATGATGATGCAGGTAACGATTTGTTTAAAAATAATGAATCATGCTGTTGTCTTTTTTATCCCCGCTCAACTAATTGGCCGTCAATCAATCAGAGTACATTAAGGCAAGAGGCTTTAAAAGCTCGGATTTAATAAATATTTTATAACTTGACACATGTTGAATAACGTGGATCGAAACAAATATTTGCTGAAGCAAGAACAAACTACCTAAATGCAATTTTGTATGGTTCTAAGGTGGACACCTCTGCAGGTCGGGGATCGCGAAAAATACACCTGCTGTCATCCACTGCATTCACTGTAAGAGCAAACTAATGGGGGAACCCCCTGCAGAATTAGGGATTTGCTTTTGCTTTTCTGCCCTCTACTTGGGGCCAAAAACAAAACCCAAAATGAATATGCTAACCAATTGCAATATATTTGGGCTCTTTATATATCCTTTTACTTCTAACTACCTTTTATTTCCTCGGCATTGCATTTCAATGAGATAGCACAACACAGTTGGCATCAGATCCGCGCTATCACAAGGAGGCAAACACACTAACATACCCTGTCTCCTGCATACACACACGCAGGCACACACACTACGAACATGGATGCACGTCCTTAAATTACCTTAGATGTTAATAGGACGTTTAACAAAATTAAACCAAACCGAACCAAACCAAATTATTTCCTTGCACTTTGCTAAGCAACACCTCACTTGAGTCATTAGTTTTGAACGTTTGCCCTTTTGAGAAAGGCAACGGGAGCTGTCCCCAGGCCAGGGCATACTAAAGTCCTACAATATGGTAGTTAGTCCCTGCTCAACCTAATGGCAAGAACTGGTCCACCCGTTTTCAATTTAATGTGGCCGGGTGGAATGCTGTGATCGGTCCCTTCGACATAGTATTTCAGTGATAGATAGCACTCTAAAGTCGGCATCAGATCCGCGCTATCACCAGGAGGCAAATACACCAACATGCCCGGTCTCCAGCAAACATGTACGCATGCACGGATACACACAGATTCAAAAAACGTTGGCATCTGGTTTGCAATAAATACTTATGAATGTTAATGTGTAGAGCAATACTATATATGATCAAAATATCTTGAGTGTATCCGTAATAAAATATCGAGGAGGACGATGCAATATCGAAGTATCATTTTAAGTTAAATTACTTGAATGTATAAAATTGAACGATTTACATACTCTTATAATCCTAAAGCTGGACTTGGCATCGAACTGACAATGGAAAAGACAGAACGACTATATTTCCATAAAGGCGCTGGATACAGCTGTAAATATACAAAGGAACAGCTACAATCATAGTTGAGAAACATGTAAAATTACAACACAATCTCGGCAACACAGGTAAACATAGCCACTTTGTACCTGGACCGTAGTTTACCCCCGCCTGGGGCACTTACGGGTAGAGCTGATATGTGAAACCGTATACCGTTATGAAAACACAACTGGACCTCTGGTAATTGTTATTTGCATTCGTTTTAATCTAAAGCTCCCCTTCACCTGGTTTTCACACCTTAGTTACGTAAGTGTCCCGGGCGGGGGTAAACTACGGTCCAGGTACAAAGAGGCTATGTTTACCTATGTTGTCGAGACTGTGTTGTAATTTTACATGTGTCGATTAAGGTCATTTAAAAAACACTGAAAACGCCGTTTCTAAATTTAAGCTTGTAGACGAAGCTAGAATAGGGAAACATACTAAATAAATCAAGTTTATATGTTTAAACAACAAACCTTATATATTGTTAAGCCATTCCTCAATTAACACCAACCACGAGTGTTAGCGCACAACGTTCGTCGATCGCCCGCACAAATGTGCGCAAGCAATGATCGTCCAATCTTTTATCGTTCGCACTTCATGCACACATCGTTCACACACCGTGCACAAATCGTGCGCACACCGATCCCACAACTGTACATTGTACATCAATTTTGAGCTAACCTGTCCCGAAGGTATTTTTTACGGTAAAAAGGCTCACTTTTGTATCAACTGAGGCGTACGCCCCCTTTGGAGCAGAACTGTGCGGTCTAATAAGGGAAGTAAAGGAAAACAATTGAACGTCCTTCTCGTTTTGTACTAATGAAGGAATTTGATACACAATTGTCCTATAGCATCTTTGGACAAAGGGGATTCAATTGTGTATGAACAGAAGGTGTATAGAAGTGGAGATAGTGGTAAATGTTTTAATCATTTTGTACAAATAAAGGGATTTAAATCTCGAGCATATTATGGTAAAAAGTGTGTATCAACTCTGGCCTAGACCCACCATTGCGGCCGAAGGGTGGTGCCGAATAGGGGAAATAGGAAAATAATACAGATTCTTCTTATTTTGTATGGATGAAAAGATTTGAACCACATTTGTCCTACAGTATCTTTGGTTAAAAAGGATTAAAATTTGTTTAAACAGAGAACGTGGCAACCCTGGGGACAGAGGGGCTGGGTCAATAGAATAAAGGTAAATCTTTTAAATCTTTCTCGTATGCGAATAAAGGGATTATCACCAAATTTGTTATAGATCATCTGTGGGCAAAAGGTAAAAAACTGTGTATAAATTGAGGGTGCCGCTGTTTTGGGTTTAGTTTAGTACAAAGTTTAATTTGTTTAACGTCCTATTAACAGCTAAAGTCATTTAAGGACGTGCCTCCATGTTTGTAGTGTATGCGTGCTTGCGTGTGTGTATGCAGGAGACAGGGTATATGAGGGACCGGTTCCAATATTGTAAATAGAGTAAACTATCTACAAATTATTCTCCTTCGATGCAAATGGATGTATTTTAATAAATTTGGTCAAGAGAACCAGCAGGCAGAGAAAACTAAATTTTGAATGAATTGCTCTGTTTTGCTCAACATTCAATGACAACCTTTTCAGTTCCCGGAAATGACACAGTGAACAAAGCGATATATCTGTATCCTTTTCCCTTTAATAATGACCTAGTAATAGGTATTTTTCAACAAGTGATTTTTATCAATTCTGCTCTCAAACTTAAAGGGAAAGTAATCTAAAAGATGAAACTTGTTCACATATGGATTTTATAATTTAGCAGTAGGCAGATCCTCTATTAATAAGGTCCAAAAAGTGTTTTGTTGAAGATGGCCTGATAAAACTTGCAGTATATCTGCATCACCCTCAGACAATGTACAATGCACTATCGTTAGATCAGTGTGACCTAAACCTCTAGGTCCAAGCTCAACACACCTGCAGGTGGGGGATCGGGAAAGAAACATGCCTGTTCATGTTGGGCTTGAATATTGAGCGTTCGCCCAGGTACGGATGGCAATTGGTTCTGTCCCAAGGCCGGGACATACAAAAGTCCTTAAAAACTGTAGTTGTTATAACCTGATTAACGTTTAGCATTAAGGTGAATGACAGCAACTGGTTCACCCGTTGTCAGTATAATGTGACCGGGCGGAATGCTGTGTTGGGCGCTTTCGGCATGGCATTTTAGTGAGATAACACTACAAAGTTGACATCAGATCTGGCCTATCACAGGAAGGCAAGCACACCAAACCTGTCTCCTGCATACACACACGCAAACACGCATACACTACACACATGGAGGCTCGTCTTTAAATGACCTTCGCTGTTAATAGGATGTTAAAAAATTAAACCAATACGCGGAAAGTTTTCAGAAATATAATGTCAGGGCCGTATCTTTTCAACCGTTAAAGGAAAGACAAAAACAAGTATCTAGTCATTACTTGTATGTCATCAATGGGCATCTTTAACATAAACCTCAGATAAATTCCTTCAGCTACAATTATGGAAATAAATTCATTGACATTACTGACTTTGCTTATTTAATCTGTCTGCTGAACCATGTGGGAAAAAACCCAGAAACTGCTCCAATTTCTAATATATGCCACTTTATAAATTAGTTACCATGGAAACCAGGTGCTGAACTGAGTAAAACAGACTGAAATGTAGTTTGAATGCATCAAGATAGAGCCTGTGAATTATTTGCTGTTTAGTATCAACATGCCTTATTGACACATATGTGATGAATTGTGTAATAAGTAGTTACCTCCCTTTAAACATACCACAGGTATTATGAAAAACATCTTGTAAAACAACAAATGTTTTTTTTTATGTGACGTTTCGATGACTAGTACGGCATGTACGTTGTCACCTTTATTTGATTCCAAAAAAATGCGTGGCATTTTTATGATGTTCCAGTTATAAAAAAGTGTCATTGATACAGTCTCTGTGCCATTACTATGTGATCATTATCATTTATTTTATCTTTACAAATATATATATATATATGTTACGATCGATTCGTTTGCTATTCATGTATGTTCTTTATCCATTGAACCCTTTCAACCATTATTTTAAGTATGATGTATTCCTTTTGATAACATCTGTTTTAGTGTTGTTTGGCCCTAACGGTTGCAGTGAACATGAAACATAATCTAAAAGATCAAAGTGAAACCGATGTTACGATGTGAACTTTTCCCATGCCAAACATATTTACAAAAAAATAAGGATTGAACTTCATTTTAATGGCGTATACGGTAGGATGAACGGTTCGAAACGAACTTATTATACGGTGCGGGTTATATTACATAAAAGCAATGTATAAATGTTGTACGAGGGAAAAACAGTCAGATCGAGTTGCTACGATGCTAACTACGGTAGCCGTGGTTGCAATATTGTTCCACTGAAAATGTATTGATATGCGAGAAGAAAGTATCTAGCAAACACTATTATTTTCATTTTGATAAATGTGTAATGGTCGTTATATTTGTATGTATAGGCACACTACTGTGGTAGCGACGCGGTCAAATATTCCAGAACGGAGCTGGCATTGTTACTTTACCGTCAAGGAAATGTGAATGTACATGTGCATCCATGGAATAGAAAGTTGAACAGCATCCCGTTGTTGTATAATTTGACAAAAAAGATCCCGAATATGATCCTTGTTTGGAATGTTGAAGAAACCAAGCAATAACTGCCATCGGACTGTTACGCTGAACGGTGAACAGCAACACATTTGAAGGAAGTATCAATC